TTCCTGATTTTAGAGGGAATGGTTTTAATTTTTCTCCGTTAAGTATAATGGTGGCTGTAGGTTTGTCATATATAGCTTTTATAATGTTGAGGAACTAAGAAAATAAGACTTTTACCAAATCATCTCCTGAATCTGGGTAAGGAAAATGGGAAGATACCATAACTGGTTTAAACTGACCTGATGTATTCCATGTGGCTGAGGAATTCACTCCTGGGGTTTCTACTAGTCATGGATAGATTGCAGTACAAGCTGGGAAGGAGAGAGGTTGAAGCTTATGGTCAGTGAGTACGCAGTAAGCAGCATCTGCATGGCAGTTGGCCTTTGCCTCTTGTAATAATCATGTTTTCTTTTTCCATTGTGGTTTATTTTAGCTCTAAATGACTTTCCCATCTGGAAAGAAATAGATTATTAATACTCATTTTCTGTGTGTCTTATAATTTAGCAGTTCACACTTTTTATTGTGTTTCTATTCTAACTTAAACATATATTCATAGTTCAATTGAATGGGGAGATCTAGTATTGAACTATCATAGTTCCCTTAATTTTTAATTTTAATTTTGTAATAGCAGTAGTTAATAAGTATTGATAACATGCTTTTGTCATTTTAAACTTGTTTTTGTAATATTTTTATTTTACAGTAAATTCTATAAAATTTCATCCTTCAGAGCAGTTGGCTCTCACTGGTATGTTGATTTTTTTTTTCTTTACTGAACAAAATGATTGATAATCTTAAACAGTCTTTTTATCAGTAGCATCAGCATCATCCAGGGCTGTTTTGAAATTTGGTAGATCTTTTATGAATTAAGTGAGAAATGAACAAAGGAATACGTTGAGTAGTACTTCTTAAACTCAATAGTGGATCACCAGTTAGAATAATTTGAATTTATTCTGAGGTTAAAATCAATTTATATTCTTCTTGAAGTCGTTTTTAGAAAGCATTTTTGCATATGATGATTCACAGTAGATTGTAACACGGTTTTGCTCTTTCCTGACCCTGTCTGCATCTGAAATAAAAAAATGAGAAAAATAATACAGAAACATGATAATTTTCCAAAGCTAGCATTTTCATTCCTTTCTAGATACTTTACCTAAACTGTGATAGCTTAAATTTGCCATATTGTATAGAGAGGTTTTAGAAACATTCCTTCATTTGTTGCTTTTGAAGAGTAACCTTATCGTACTGAGGATTTTTCCTATAAAATTGTCAGACACCCATGAGCCCTGTGATATTTTGGAGACACTGGTGATAATCTTGAAGGGTATGTGTTGGTTTTTGGTAGACCCAGAGGTCAGCAAACTTTCTGTAAAGGACTAGTTAGTAAGCTTATGGTCTCTATCACAATGACACAGTTCTGTTGTAGCATGAAAGTAGCAGAGATAATGGAGAAATGAAGGGACAGGGCTGTTTATTTTCAAAAATGGGTTATGGAGCAGATTTTTCTGATTGTGGGATGGAGCGCAACAGTTGAGAGATGACTGAGTGCTTCGTGCAGGTGGAATTGTGTAGGAAGGAGCCCAAACATGAGTTTAATGTTTGAAATGCAGCAGCCACTCAGTTTGGTCAGAGAATTTTTATATGTGAGAGGAATACAGTGGGAAGGAGGGTCATTTTCATAGGTCTCGATCATCCTGGCTAATTTATACCTTAATAAATGTTTCAGGAGAAAAGTGGGCAAGGAATTTAAGCCTGATTACTTTGATGGTTTGTTGTATGATTGGAAAGAGGGAAGGAGGCGAGGAGATGAGTGGCAATTGCATATGTCTAGAAGTAAACGTTCAGGAAAGGAGGGGTGAAACCAAGAGGCATTTTAAAATGGAGCTGGTAGAAACTTTGAGACAGATGAAGTAGAGAGGAAGAGGTAGACTGTAATTTTTATGTATTGTTGATTTAAAGAGAAATTGGCAAGTCAGATGAATAAATTGATTTCTATCATAAAAATTACACTATAGTTAAAACATTAACTTTAGGGAAGCTCTGAGGAAGTGAAGAGAAGACTGCTTTGATGAGGGTGAAACATGATCATTCTGGTGTATCTGAGGTCTGTTTTCTGCTCTGGAGTGCCATCCTTTGTCTTTTCATTCCTAAGTCAGAGCATTTTCTTACAGACTGGCTAATGAAAAGAGAGGAACAGGGAA